TTATTGCGATATTATTTAATTCAATATAATGATAGCTAATTCATAAACCTAAATTGGTAGATACATATATCAAAATAAAAAAAAAAAACTTATTCAAACTATAATAATATACATACGAGTATTTACAATAGACCATAGTACATTAATATCTAATTTTTAAAAAAATGTACCAATAATGTGTATAGTGTATACTTAATAAGCACTACTTGTTATTTTAAAACTAGTATTTAAATACTATTCTTTAATAATTTATAATTCATATCGATTTTATTATTATTAGTTATAACTTAATATGTCATACAAGGTTTCTATAAATTTTTTTTAAAAATACTATTCAAATTCAGTGATCTAAATCAGTGCTTCTCAACCTTTTTTGTTACAGGGCCCCCTTAAAAGTTTGATTATTATTATTTAATAACAGTAATCTAACATTAAACTTTATCTACAATAATTATTCATATGGTCGGTCGGTTATAATATAATAACCGAAAATATTTTAAATGAAATAAATATTTCAAGTTCTCTCAGTCATATATCCACGGCCCGCAGGTTGAGAAGCACAGATCTAAATAATATAGTATTCCATAAAATGTTCGTCTTAAAATTTCTTTAACATAGTCAAACCAAAAAAAAAAATGTAAAACAAAAATCTTATTAAAGCATATTTTAGGGTTTTGGTAAGAGAAAATCTAATAAAAAAGGATCCAAAAAACTTGTGGATTAGTTTAGAAATAACTTACAGGTGTAATCAATCAAAYGATAAGTGAGCGTTGATCAAAAGAAAATATTACACCATAATTATAGCGGTGACACAGAGAAAAGATTTTAATGAGTATTTTTTTTTCTGTAATATTTTGGATGGAGAAATGTATAATGTTCTGTTCCTCAAATGAAGAAATTAAGAAATAATCTTCAAAATTAATTACCGTTATGAAGGTCGTTAGAGATAGGCAGGTATTTATATAAAATATTGTTTAGTTGATTTGAATCAATAAGTATTATTTAACTAGATACTCGTGACTAAATTTATTGAATTTATTTGCGGTAGTTTCAATGTCTATTTATTTGCATGGTGTTTGTCRGTATGAAATATTTGTTTTTAAAATTCAATTGAATAGAAATATTTAATTATTGACTATTAACTATATGTTATATCATATGTTATGAGACTGAATATGAATATAAAAATAAAACATTATAAAAAAATGAGAATGTATTCAATGTAAACATCAGATAGGTATATTTAAATTTTTCTACAGATGAATAAATTCTTACTTCGAGTTTTTGATTATGCCCTATGATTTAGAGTGAATCTGAATTGTTTATTTGTCTAGCGACTTAATAACTTGTCTGTAGATTGTCTGTATGAATTACGATAAGTTAAAATAATATTTTATCGATTATTTTCCCCATTTAAAATTTAATTTAATAACTATTATAACACCTCTACAATTTAATTACTATTTTACAATTATTAGTAATGTGTATTGGAAAAAAAAAATTAATAAAGTGTATATTAAGTTAACAACTATTTTAATAAAATAATATAATTCATTTTCCTGGCTGGTATTTTGTATATTTTATACAGTGTAGATCATGATATTTAAAGTCACAAAGAAATGTTAGGTATTAGTTATTTTTAATAATAYTKTGATAAATATTTAAATAATACTACGAAAATAAGAATTATCCAAACATGCAGTCTAAGATCAGTGAGAGGAGTAAGTGTTTAAGTAGGGTAAAAATTGAACTAGTTTGATATTTAATACCAAAAAAATAAAAAATATTTTTATAATAATGAATTTATATACACATATAACTATACTTTGAYTTTATTTGTGAGGAGAAATGTGCTTTAAATGTTTTGCTTAACCTTTCAAAAGCTTTAGACCATAACACAGGTGATACTTTATGGCGATAGTATCTGAAAATGTAGGTACTAAAATAAAAAAAAACTGGGCACCTTATCGTTAATTAACCCTCTGTTTCATAATCCTGGGCATAAATCATGATTTTTTTTCCTACTGCGAGAGCCACCTTTAACGATAATGACACAGATGAGTAAAAAAAAAATCTTGTCAACATTGACAACGCTGATGTGTATACGATTCATAAACGATAGAAAGGTCCAATTTATTGTATCATAACCGATTTTTTATAAAAATACCTAATAAAAATATTGCAATATTGCGTAAAATACGGTGAAACATTAGAAAATCATTTAATGATCAACGATACTATGAACCTTCAAGACATTTAGTGATACTGAATTTTAAGATTAAAACATCAAATTTAATTAATTAGGTTTTACGAGCTTAAATTTCAAATTATAGTTAACTGTTAATATTGTGGTTTTTAACATTATTTCYGGTGTTTCAGAAGTGTACGTATTGATATAGCTTACACATTTCTACATCAAAAAAAAAAAATATCATAAATGGAATGTAAGTCACTAATTTCCATAATTAGAGTAGCTGAGTACCTTAAGCCAAAATGTTTATAAAAATTAAAGAATTTTGATTACACTCAACTACTTCAATCTAAATACGTAGACAAACTAAAATAAAATATATATAACTTTGATTCGTTATTTTATAATTAAAAAAAGTTAGGAAATTATTTTCCATTCGAAAATCAAAAAAAGTCTAAATTTAACATACTCTTTTATGAATATCTGAGAATTAGGAGATCTGTAGAAAACTCTTAAAAACCTAGTTTAATATGTCCATCCCAAATAAAATAATAAAACAATAACCTAATATGTACTTATCATAATGATATATTTGTTACKTACAGCAAGTATATAAATAGGTGTATTATTTCAGTATTTTTATTACGAATCTCCTTAAGTCCAGGCAATCTACAACAACCATTACATATTATTATTGAATTACAAAAAATAATAAAAATAGAGTTTTCTGATAGTCACATTAGGTTAAGTTTAAATGAAAATAATTTAATGTAATAAAAACTATTTGACGTGTGTTATTTTAAGATTGAACTATTCGATAGACATATAATGATATAATCAATCAAATCCTGATATTCATCACATCTGACACGGCATCAAGTATTAAATAACATTATTCTAGTATATACTAAATAAGGATAGGTACAATGTACATAGTTATTATTTAATAACTTACGAGGATCGCAAAAAAAATCTATGCTAGGTATTGTATTTCGTAACTTTGTTAGGTATATGTATATCAATAAATATTCGAAATAAACTTTTCGTTATGTACCTTACTATATTCCATTATTGGTTTATTTATGTGCACACAATATCTATGAATGCATTTAAAAAAAAATTGAATAAATTCGCTTTTAGAAGAATAGGTTTCTAACATATCACTGATGATGAATGAAAACCTAACGGGAATATTTTCCCCAAAAAACCAGTAATTTTAAAAACAATTTTAATACGAACATTTAAAAATAAAGTTTTTAAAAATATTAATTGTATGTTTATCGTTAACATAATAATATGCTTTTAAAATAAGCAAAAATTGTTCATGTTTTCAAATACTGTGTGGGATACATTAAAATAATAATGAGGGATTAACTACGGTATTAAACTTTATTATAAATATAAATCTTTTTTTGGCAACTGTATTAAATGTATTTTTTTTTTTTTAAAACAGTTATAAGCATAGTTATAAAAGTAAAATAAGAACATAGGACATGGCGTGGGCCTTTTAATGTGTTTGATGACAAAAATAAGTGAGTTGTTATTGGAATAATAAATGTACCTACATGCATTAATAATAGTAATAAAAAATACTGTCTGGGAATAGCTTAAATTCATTCGTTTTACATAAGGTAATTGAATATATACTTTTATTGACGTATAAATAAATAAAAAATCAGATTTTAGTTTTTTATACTGAAGTTTCTCGAAAATTGTCACATATATACAGGCCAACGGAAGTGCTGTTATGTTTTCTACCACAGTCCCACGAGATTAGAAGTTTTTTTTTAAACCGATTTTCTCATAGCTCAGTGTCCCAATTGATATTTCCATTTCATATGCATATAAATCGTAAGGAATTCAACCAAAAATAAAAAATGTCTAACAAACGTCAACAAAATAAATAGTAGGTAAACAAAAGTACCTACCAATTGTATAAAAAAARACATTATGATTTCTGAACTGTAAACTTCTTAAATGGTTTATTTTAGTTTAAATATAAAAATACTTATTGTGTACGTTTACTTATATTTAAAAAATTATATGTATATAACAAAGGCACCTTGTATTATACCTAAAATTAATTWAAAATATTCCATATTGGATTATAATTATTTGGAACAATTGTTAAATCGTGTTTAAAATTCTAATAATTTGCACCTATGAGTAAGATAAAATAGAAATATGTACTTTGAATAGAATAAATTACTTAAGTAATACAGTTAACTATTGTATATGACGCTATTCACWTGATTTAGGATAAGATATTCAGCTTTTTAACTTAAGAATAAATTTATAATCTTGAAATATTCATACTTAAAAGTTATAACTCGATCTTCAAACACATAATTTAATGTTTGATTTTACTGTATGGCTTCCTTTCTATCTAGTTTAGAAACTAAATAGTTTAAAATTAATTCGATTTCGTATTGGATATTGGTTCATATCATAAAATTAATTTTAATATATATATTTTTTTTTCTATGTGTACTTTGTAAACTAACTTGATCTGTTGACATGTTAATTTAATTGCATGTAAATTGACTAAAATTAATAAAAAATAACATTTTATAAAATAGACTTCAGAAAAAATATAATTACCCAAATTATTAAAATAATTATTAACATAATATTATATAAAAWTTTTATTTTATTGTTATAACTTTAGACATGTTTACTTAGCATTTTGTTCTTAACTTAAAACATTTGGGGAAATATCTTATTGCGTGATTTTTATCATATGAAAATGTTATTTAAATTATGTATATAGTTGTTTAGGTACGTAAAATAACTGGATCATGGTACTTACTTGTGGTTATTCTGATATAGAGCAAATGCACGAACACACTGTCCTGTGTCGATGGCGGTTTCTGGTAATACCGAACAAATTAATGTCCAAACAACGTCCAATTAAGTGTTCTTAAATGACGATGCCAAAGTCTGATACGGTGTACGAATTCTTTCGAATAAAGAGCATATGCAGATGTATTTTCACTCTAGTCTTGT